CACAGAAAAGCATGAGATAAAAAACAGGGCGAGGGATTCAAATATATTAAGATAGCTGCATGAAGTGAAACTTCTATTCAATTAGCTTTAATTATAATTCTGTGCCTTTTTAGGTCAATATACATTCATAATTTAGGAATTTAACATATTTTTGACATAATTTAAGGTAAAATGACAGTTTTCTATAAAATCTGAATTAGAACTCAAGAAAAACGGATACATTCAGCTGTAAAATTAGAGCAAAAAAAAAAAAAGCAGATGAAAACTGGAATCCTATCTCAATACCAGTAAAGCTATCACCTTGTTGTTTTTAAATAATTAGAAAAAACTGAATTTGTAAAGAAAACATATGAAATAGATCAAAAGGACCTATCAGTAACTATATCTGTTCCCAGAAGTGTCAAGTAACGAAGTAAAAATACTTCGTTACTGTACTTAAGTACACTTTTTAGGTATCTATACTTTACTCCATTACTTATTTTTCTTCCTACTTCTGACTTTTACTCATTACTTTTTCAAACACGTATCTGTACTTTCTATTCCTTACATTTTTAAGACAAACGTTACTCGTTAAACTTGGCTTCGGTTTAATGTTTATAAATATTTATTTCCCATCATGTGCGCCATCCAATGCAGATCATTGGCTCCATCCACATCCAGTGAAAACTAGTGTAATTGGATGAGTCATAGAACGCAAACACTCATTGGTTAGCTAAATGAAATCATCAGAAGCAAGCAGGTGTTCTTCAAACTGCAAACGTGAATTGTCTATGCCATGCTACAATGTCGGATTCAGAAAAAGATGTTGAAATGTCTAAAAGGTCGGACACAGGCGAGAGCGTATCGGGAGATGGAGACCAACAAGACCTCCCTCATCCTTGTTTGGGGTTCAGTTTGTTTTAAAAATAAGCAGATGTAAAATGTCTAGATGTTGTGTCGTTGTTGTATATGTGTTGTCTGCGTATGTATAAGTTGCACTTGTATTTGTTGCAAATGTAGATTAGATGCTGTATATGTCTATGTTGCATATGTCTATGTTGCATATGTAGATAATGCATTGGTTAATGCCTTTGCTTTCAGCTGTTGGTCCATGTCGTTGGTCCATGTGGTTGGTCTTTGATGCCTGTTCCCCTCGCCATTACAAACAATGGAAGTAGATTATTTTGTGTTTATTAGAAATTACTAAAAGGTTGTCTTTATCAATAGCTCCAAAATGTTTAGATTTCTGCAAATCTCGTATTTACTTCCAGCATTAATTAGGACAGCAAAGGAGGAAGGAGGGGGCGTAGGTTTAAATAGCGATGGGATAATACGACAAGACCAACAACAACAAGCAACGACATGGACCAACAGCTGAGAGCAAAGGCACTAACCGAACACGGATGTTTCAGACATGCAGACTGGCAGGATTACAGTGAGGCAACATCTGCATATGCAACATCTACTGTACATAGACATGCAACATCTACATATGCAACAAATAAATGTGCAACATATATATTTGCAGACAACAGATATGCAACAACAGCATAACATCTAGACATTTTACATCGGCTTATTTTTGATACAAACGGAACCTCATATCCTTGACCCTATCTGAAAGAATTTTTAGAAATAGTCAAAAAATGTAGCTTTCAATTAATATAGTGGCATCTGGCTGTTTTTCTAAAGGTTACTTTATACTTTTATACTTTAAGTAGTTTTTGGAGCACATACTTTTTTACTTTTACTTGAGTAAAGAGGTCAAGCTGATACTTCAACTTTTACCGGAGTGTTTTTAAACTACAGTATTTATACTTCTACTTAAGTAATAAATGTGTTTACTTTGGACACCACAGTCTGTTTCAGTGCATATCACCATTAGAATTTCTTTGAGCGTTATGTCTTTATTACAGGGGCCAGGACATTAGCTGCAGGGGCACTGGCCCCCCGTTACCCCCCGTCTAGAACCGCCCATGGGGATGGATCTAATTGTGATTATCATAATGGTAAAGATGACACGTCTGCAAGCTGCCATCGGGTCTTAAAATGATGAGATCAACTTTTTACATTTTGTTGTTTCTGCTGCGCATTTTTCCACATTTAAAAACCTCCTTTTAATAAATGCATCGCCTGTAAGATCACCTGGAGTCAAACTTTTTGCCGCTGTCATAGAAGGTCCCGTTGAAGTGATAACGGATAAAATCTTCTACTTGAACTTCTCTAGGGCAGATCTGCGGTAAGAGGTACCGATCCACAACGATGTCCGCCAGCGGGCTGGGGTTGCACTGCACTGCGAGAGCAAAAAGCAAAAGTCCAAAGCTTGTTTTTAAATCCATTTTAAAAGACTCGGGTGCAGAAAAAACGGAGCAGAGAGAAGATCATCTGAGTCTGACAGAGATTCTTGAAGAGGAGGAGAAAAGGAGAGAAGCATTGGATAGAGAGTCCCGTTGGACTGGAAAGTTAGATGGAAGAAGGAAAAACTTCCGCTTAAGAGTTTCAAAGCAATACTAAGGATATGGGTTTAAATTTTAAAATGCATTTACTAATAAAGATGTCTTTACTTTACGTCTGATTATTATGTATGTAGAAAAAATATTTTTTGATTTAAATTTCTTCTGCAGATTTATTTATTTATTTATTATTTGCAGCCGTTTAATCCTGTGAATAGCTCTAACATGATAATTAATCAAAGACAGAGGCGTTTTATCGTTATCTCCATCTTTTCTCCTTTTTCCCCCCTTTTTCTGTTTTTCCTTTCCTGTTCTACTTACATCGAGTAGGACATGTCTTTACTTTACATTTGATTAGTATGTATGTAGAAAAATATTTTTTGATTTAAATTTCTGCTTCAGATTTTTTTTTTTTTTTTTTTTTTTGCAGCTGTGTAATCCTATGAATAGCTCTAACATGATAATTAATCAAAGACAGAGTGTAAATCTCCTGCTCCCCCATATACTAAGGCTGACCTGTTTGGGTGAGATCTAATGACTCTGGAGGCTATTAAAGAACAATAGACTTATCATGAGAAACCAGTTTGAAATGATTTGAGCTTTGTGCATTATCTGGATGCATAGAGCAGACAGAGAACGGCAACGTTACACTGAGGGGGTGGATAAACTCAGCAGAGGCTCAGATTATGTCAACAAAATATCAATATAACAAAACGAGAAGCATCCTGACCTATAATTATAAATCAGGGTGGATTTAGGCTTTCAGTGTTCTTGCTTATGCTGCATTTATACTTTTTCATCTGAAAGTTGCTGTGGAAATTTAGGCTCCTTAAAGGAATAGTACACCCAAAACATGATTAGCCTTCATTTTTTACTCACCCCCATGCTGAACAACACCCTGGAGTACTTTTTTGATATCTCAAATGCATCTGGAGATCTGGG